AGAGAGGAGAGAGGAGAGAGGAGAGAGGAGAGAGGAGAGAGGAGGAGGAGAGAGGAGAGAGGAGGAGGAGAGAGGAGGAGGAGAGAGGAGGAGGAGAGAGGAGGAGGAGCAGGAGGAGGAGAGGAGGAGGAGCAGGAGGAGGAGCAGGAGGAGGAGAGGAGGAGGAGCAGGAGGAGGAGAAGGAGAGGAGAGGAGAGGAGAAGGAGAGGAGAAGGAGAGGAGAAGGAGAGGAGAGGAGAAGGAGAGGAGAAGGAGATTCAGAAGGAGAAGGAGAGAAGGAGAGGAATGGAAGGCCTAGTTCCTGTCAAAGCGGCTTGCGAGCTGAAAGCGGTGGAACCGAACGCGCTGGAACGTTTGGATGCAGCTGAAAATCAGGGTCCAGGTAGATTTTGGTGACCATGTATAATCTTGCTGCTGGAAGTTTATATGGTATTATCAACGGGCTGTCAACAGTACCCAACTATTGAATGGTACCTTCACTCACTCACTAGCAGAAGAAGGCTCCCAAGGTGCTCTGAGGGCTGTGGAGATTGAATGTGAGCTGCGTTCAAAGTGGGTGTGTGTGTGCGTATAGAGTATACATTTGTATAAAAGTGTGTGCACATAGATACATAAGTCATTTGAAACAACATCTAACTATATACAGAGAGAGATGGTCAAACCTTCTGGGAAAACACCGTTGCGCTTTCCAGGCTGTGACGCAAGCTCTTCCTAAAGGAGGGGATGCTCCTGAGAAGCAAGTGCCCTGAGGGCTGTGGAGTTCTCATGAGGGTTTCCTATGCCTACGAGTGAGGTTTTTGGTGGGTGGAGACCGATGAAGCAGAGGAGTGGTTAACATTTCCACTCCAAAAAATGCCGATGATTTAGAATGCGTTTTGGAGTTCAGCAGCTGGAGTATGTAACCTTTTGGAAGTTTCCCTAACAGTCTGACTTTCTCCTGTGAAGGCGTGAAAGTGAGGAGAAGAAAGTTCCCAGCGATGAGGTGCTTTGCCCCCAGATTCAGGGGGAAGCGGCATTCTAAGTGCCGGTCAGATAGTTCCACTTCTAATCTTAAACATCCTATCTACAAGCTACATGTAGAGCAATATTCAGGGTATGGCCCAGCTTCAGCCTTGGCAGGATGCTTCTCAGCCGGTCAGATAGCTCCACTTGCAATCTCAATCATCCATATCTAGAAGCTATTTTTCTATATCTGTTTACATATAAGTGTGCATATATACATAAGTCACTTCAAAAAACACCTAACTAACAATCAGAGATGGTCAAACTTTCTCGGAAAACACCGTTGCGCTTGCGAGGCTTTGACACAAGCTCTTCCTAAAGGGCCCGCCTGTCCACAGGACCGTGAGCACATTTCTCATTGTACACAGGGTTGTTCAGATGACCACTTCTACGAGCTTTTGAAAATCACAATTGACAATGTAAAAAATAGATGAACTCTTAATCGCACGAAGGTTTGAATCAATATGTTTATGCTGCCACAGCCATTGCAAACAGCTGGGACGAGCAGGTCGACCTGAATCGAAGGGGCGAAGGGGGACGGACGGACTTCAGTGACTTCAGGGTTGAGGCGGGTGAGGTTTGGTCAGCGGATGGATGGGTTCTCAGAAAAGGCACTTGCCTCGGGTTGGAAAGAAACCCATGGGTGTGACCCATGCCCGCACAGAAAAACGCACCTAACGCAGCGAACGAACTCTTTTTCGTTGGTGTTCGTTCCGAGATAAGATGTGGGGACGCTGCTGGGACGCTGCTGCCGTTCCGAGAAAGCCGTTGGCCCGGGGTCGATGGCAGCTGTGGAGACCCTCCACGAACGGATCTGAGATGAAGACCCCCCAAAGAGAAAGTGAAACAGAGGGACAATTAGAGTAAGGTCAAACTTGCTTTGGTAATCGAAGACCCAACTGCATCCAACCGTACAATTGCTCCAGTGGTTGAGCCTTCATCCACTTGAATCAGGCAAGCGCAAAGCTTACAGAAGTGTTAGGTGCATCGCTAGCTCTGCTTTTACAAGCGCAATGGTCCGGTCGCGCTGCATTTGCTTTGCATCATGTGGCGGGTCCTCACGACAGCTTGCAACCGCCGAGCCACTTGGCGATCTCTTTGCCAATTGTATTACGAGAGCTATAGGAACTGTTGAATCATGGGCACCGGATTCCAATCTAGATCAAGGCTAGTGGAAGCAGGAACCTTTGCAAAGACATCGTTTCTGCGCTGTCACATTGGCGCTGGAGGTACGAGATCTTGGTGGAGCTGGATGTGGCCAACGAGATGTTCACTTCGAACCCTTGCGTGTGCAAGGCATGCAGTTCGACGTGGGCCACTGTACCGTCTGAAGTTGAGAGATTCGTGTCAGTCTGGAGCGGAGCGCCTGGGAATGTAATGAGGTTTGGTGGGTTAAATTGAGCTCAGACCCTCAGTGGGTAACCAATCTAATTTGTTTATCTTGGGCCATTCGGGCTGGTTGTCCTATACCAAAAACAAGAAAGCAAACCCCAACCCTGCCGAGTCTTGGAGTGCCCCTCCCCGTCGGTCGGTCGATGGCCCTTGCCTCTTTTTGGGGTCGTTGCTGATTGCCAGGTTCCGGAGTGCCCCTCTCCCCTGGTCAATCGTTGGCCTTCATGGCTTTTTGGGGGCTCTTGACGGTTTCCGAATACGTAAGTTCATTTGAAAGCCTTATGTAGCTATGACTCTGACATGTTACATGAAAGTAGAAACCTTCATACGACTGTGAGGACAGTATAAACTAAAACAACGTCAGTGTCTTTTTAAGGCATCTAGATCATCTCTACCTTCACAAATAAAATGTCGAAAGTTCTACGGTCCGTTTGGGGGCGCGGCTGGGTAAAAACATGGTGAGAACCACCAACCGACAACCAACGCGTCTGTCGCATCATTAGAAGAATTTAGCTCAACTTGGATTTGCTCAAGAAGCCCAGAAACACGGAAAATCAACCCAAGGCTAAAGCTAACTAACGCAAAGCCCAGGCTTTTGCATTAGTTAAAGACCTTCCCAACTCTTGTCCCCTGTTCCTCACAGGCGCCCAAGGTTCGGCGACCATTTCGTTTTT